TTACAAGTGATGCAGTGGGGGGATGTAGGACACGGGCACCATGTTTTGAGTGTGTCTTTCACAGATAGCAGGCTGACTCTTGCTTGCGCCCACTGAGCAGAGGCGCGGACCTGAGAGAGAACTTTCTCGGGCCGCTCCTCTGCTCAGTGGGCAGGGTTTGAATATCCAGACTGCTATTGTGATTTGAAATAGCCAATAGCAGTTAAGATTAAAGGCTTCATTTTTCCCTCAATGGCCTCCAGGTATTGTACTGGCGAGTACAAAAATCCTATTCTGGAATTTTTCATTATAAAGTGTAGATTTGCATTTTCGGTAAACTAGCACTAACCCCTTCCTTTCCTTTTCCCCATTGCACCTAAGATAATCGGCGCTAACCCCACTTCTCTTTCCCCTCCTTCTTATTTACCTCTTTGTGTTTGCAGCCTCTTTGCAGAATTTCTTTTGAGCACTGGCACCAATTGACCTGAATGGGGCTCTTTTTAATGAGGATCTCTAGTCTCAGTATAAGACCCCCTTCAAGTCACTAGGGACTTCAACCACCCCAAAGACACTTTCTGCAGAAGAATATACCGTAACCACCAGAGGAGGCCGCCATTATTGTATGGTGATAAGTGTGCTGCTTTGAGATGTGGGTTAGCATTAGTTTACCTAAAGCAAACCTGTTCTTTAATGAATCTGTCAATGTAATATCACCCTCTTAGACCTTCAAATATTACAAGTAACTCGGAGCTCCATTGAGCGCCTAAATACCAGGCACACACTGCACAAAGCACCTTGACTTTTGTCTAGCTCTAAAGTAAACCCCTCCAAGCCTCTCTATTTACCAGTCTTATGAATAAGTGTTAGAGTTGATCATACTGGACTGTAGAATGATGAAGTTTCTCCAAGTCTACTCTAAAAAAAGAATGCTTAGTTCTATTTTGGGCATGGCTGAATTATGAGTCACACAGAAATCAAGGTACTAAGTAACACATACTTTGCCTGCACTTTATCAGTATTTGTAGTCAAGTTATTTTTGTTCAGCTGACAGGTTGGCTTTGAGGATCCTAGGGGAAAATAGGAATGATTCTGCAATAACCACAAACACCCAAAAATGTGATTTTCAGACAGACAGGTTTTTATTTTGCCTTTTTGATATCTGAAAACTATGGCTCAGCTTTGGATATTGTGCTTTTTCCCATACAAGGAACAATTATAAACAAATTATATTTAATGCACTTTAATCTGCCTGATAACGGTCCTCTGTAAGGGCGCATTACCAATTTTCATGCTCTTCATATTGCTTGCCAAATATTACAATTTTGTTTCTTACTCTTGTAGTACTTACAGCTGCTAAATGACCTGCCTATGAAGGATGTTCCTCTGCCCATGGACGATATTAACATGCTACTGAAGCCTATTTCGTAAGTCTCCTCCTTGCCTTTTCTAGTCACTGCATGTATTGTGTAAAGTAGGGTATACACGGGTAGGTTTTCACACGGTTGTTTGTATGGAAAATCCTGCTGGAACTTTCGATAATACCATCAGCAGCTTGGCGATTGTTGTTAAAAAATTTTGTTTGATTTTTAATTTTATTTAACATTTGGTTTTGAAATGAATGGCGTTTTCCAAAACGAAAACCACATTCACTATTAGTAGTTAGTTTGATTGGGGGGAAAAATTCCAAAATGCCACCTCAAAAAAATTTCGTTGCTGTGATTGAAATTGATTGATTTCACCGCATCAATGATTAGTAAGTCGAACTAGCATTCCAAAATCGATTTTGTTTGTTCTAAATTTTAACCGTGTATACTCGACTTTGGTGTCGCACCCTCTGTTTTGTTTACAGTGATGTTTGCTCCTCCTACCGGCGAGACCAGGAAGTGTGTGCAGCCATTTTAAAAAGCCTTCTCCCAGTTGTACTGTGTCTTGGGCAGGACCAGGAGGGAACAGAGGAGACGTTTGATGCTGAGGGACAGTTGCTAAGTGTCATACAAGGCTTTTGGTACATATATTCTTTTATTATAAGCATAACACTTGAACCATATTCAACATGTTTTTAATAATCATATTTGTAATTCAGGCATCTGACTAAGGAAGGAAAACACACAGTACTGGTACGACTGGCCCTTGTGGACTGTATGAGAACATTAATTGAGGTACTGTTTACCTGCTGTTGTGTCAAGTTATTGTAAATGATTTCACCTCCAGATTTTTTTTCTGTACAGTCACTTGATATCTGTTTGGTGTTGATTATCTATGGGAGATTTTTTTTCCTCCTGTACAGAGAAATTGACGGACCATGACTCCTTTTTTCTACTGTCACCGTGTCCTTTTTCCCTTGAAGAGGACATGAAATGTACATACTATGCCCAAAAATGCAAACTGCTGACAAAAGATCAGTCACCAGTATTGCCTATAGGCTTTTTGCAACTGATCTTTTCCACATTACTGACTTACCATGCCTTGTTCCACAGTGCATCTCTATGGCGGCCATCTTGGCAGCCATCTTAGTAAAGGCAGGACTTGCCCATGTTAAATTTGAACCCTTATTCCCCGATGACTTGTGATCTAATTACTGATGAAGGCATACTCAAAAAGCAGCAGGAAAGATTCAGAAAGCACAGATTCACAGAATGAATTATGCCAAAGTAGGGATATTCTTGCTCTTCAGGGCAGGACCTCGGGTACAGCTTTTTTTTTTCCCCAGGAAGCCGCTCAGTAGTAATATCACCAAATATCACTCCAAATCTTGTAAGGCAAGTAGAGAGCACAGATCTCTCCCTGCAGATATATGTCTATAAGGTTGAAGGCACAGGAGTGTCAAGGCACTGGAAGTGCACTGCTATTTTTCAGGAGAAAGAAAAACACTAGATTTTTCAGAGTACTGCTTTGGCACAATTAACATTTCTAGATGTTCCCTATGAGACAGAAAATTTTCACATTTTAAGTTCAGATTCACTTTTACACCCAATAATCTTTTCCAATTGTTCAGTCATTATAAACCATAATGCTTGTTTTCTGTTTACTACAGGTTGATCCCCAGTGTAAGTGGGCTTTTCTAAATGTAGACAAGACAGATATTTCTGTACGAGATGCCTTTCCTCAATTCCTTGCAGATGCACAACATCAGGTTCGCCTGCTCGCTGCGCAGTCTACAAACAGGTAACATGTCTCTCTTTTTCGTAATCTTGGTTAGAGAAGCAGATTTGGTACTGTGTACTAGGGGTCGACCGATTATCGGATCTACTGATGATCGAGGGCGATATTCCCAAATTTTTAAATTATTGGTATCGGTTAAATCTACAGATATTACCGATGATAATAATAATGAGGAACCGGCCAAAATTCGCACAGTGGGTGCCACTCTCTAGCCGGCATCCCTTGATCAGCTGATCAAAGGAGCTGGGCAGAAAAACTATTTTCGCCGCTGGTCGCTGTCAGAATAAAAAAAAAAACAGCAGATAGCAGGGGAAGCAATAGCCAGCCTGCTATTGGCTATTGCAATTGCAATAGCCAATAACAGGCTGGCTATTGCACCCGCCCACTGCCTTCTGTCAATCAGCAGAGGAGTGGACCTGACAGAACTTTCAGTAGGGGTTGACCTATATCAGGCGACTGCCTGCTGTTTACATTAAGCTGCTGGCGCAGCTGGATGTAAACTGAATATTGGTTATCGGCCTGAAAGCCCATAATCGGTATCGGTTCTGAAATAATCATTTCTGATATAATATTGTAGAATGACTATTGTTGCATTAGATGATTACACATCATCACCTAGATCATCTGTCATTCCTAGACTGTTTCAAGACACAAAATCTCAAGCTCTTCCCCTGAAGTTGCAGAAGATGGCGTTTGAAAATGTTTACATGAAGGTCCAAGAAGGCATGAGCTACTTGGTAATAATACACACATTTTTCGTGCAGTTTAAAAAAAAAAAAAAAGGTTTTTGGTTATTATACATAAGCAGTGCTGTTTTTCCTGATTTGCCCAAAAACCAAAACTTTTTTTATTTTTGGGTAGAGTGATGAGTGGTAAGAAACCATCTGGTCCCTTCACCCTCTGTATTTGTCTAAGTGATCATTGTTGCTGGGATTGAAACTAAAGCAAAATCCAAAATGGCTTTGGAGCGATTTCCTCTCACTTTTTGTTGTGTCTACAGGAAGTAAAGGGAAATGTCTCCAATTGGTAAGAGAGGAGACAACCTGATGGGTTTTAAAGCTTTCCTGCTCTTATTTGTCACTAATACGTGTATATTAAATATTTATATTTATTGTTTAATGCAAATACGTTTCTATCCCTCTTCCCATGCAGTCCCGTGGTAATCAGGATCCAGAGGAGCTCCCGGATGAGAAGTATAATAGGAACTCTACATTGCTAATGCTGGTGTCCGTGATTCTCCTGTCCAGCCCTGTGTGTGAGAAGCAGGCGCTCTTCGCCATTTGTCAGTCTGTGAAAGAGAATGGCCTTGATCCTACACTTGTCAGAAAGGCTAGTTTCCTATAATTCTTATTCCCTGTTTACGCATTTAATTTCTTAATGTTGTATTTGGAAGACAATATTTTAAAGCCCCAAAACACAAATGCACATCCCAGCTAGTTAGGCCGGATAACTGCTGGGAAGAAATCGCAACAATTTGGATAAATTGTTAAGGCAACATATGGCTCTCCAGAGTGGAATCATTTGTAAAAGGCTAAGTAATGTAATGAAAAAATGGATGCAAATATGCACACAACCATAGTATCAAGGTTAGTTTCAGTCATATTGCAATTTAGAAGGAGCTGAGTCTTATGGTAGAGTAATGTCTGCGAGAAAAATGCCCCAGTCTGAAACCACCTTCCAGGGAAGAGAATACAGTTCTTCCTTCTCTGTTAATCAAGATCTTAATTGACTATCCCAATTTGTACTAAATTCTGTTATTCCTCAAAGCCTTTGTGAGTGTTAGATGCCTTTCCAGCATTTATTTTAAATTGTGAGAAGTCTGCGATTTAAATAAATGGCTGTACATTTTTCTGGGGCATTTTTCCTGTATGCTGTTACTGCATATTCTTTATTGTGATAAAAGTGAAGCTAGTGTCCTGTGATCCTGGTGGCTCCAAACTGGCCAAGAAGAGTGTGATACCCAGGTGTTCTCAGCCTGTTGGCAGATTCTCCATGACCTATTCTGGACCACAAAGATCTTCTGTCTCAGGGTCTGGTGTTTCATCCTGCTTCTCGGTCACTGGCTTTGACAGCTTGGCTGATGAAGCCAGGGTCTTTGAGGGACTCAAATCTGTCGGACTTTGTCATTCCCACCCTCTTAGAGGCCAGGATGTTCACCTCTCGTAAGGTGTATTGTCATACCTGGAAAACCTGTTTTGCTTTGTGTGAGACGCACGAGTACCATCCTCGTTCTTTTTCTGTGGGTCAAATTCTGTCTTTCCTCCAGTCCTTGGCTCCTCCCAAATACACCCCAGTGTCGTCAAGGTACTTGAATTTGGTCCTTATTTGCCATCAACAGGCACCCTTTGAGCCTATTCAGGCTATTTCTTTGACAGATCTCACCGGCGACAGGGTTTTTCTTGTAGCCATAACCTCTACTAGGAGAGTTTTGGAGTTGGCAGCACTTTCATGTAAGGATCCGTCTCTTGAGTTACACAAGGTTAAGGTCAGACTTCTTAAGTTACACCTAGGGAATCTTTTCTACCTATGCTGGTGCCCTCTTTTCATCTTAATGAGGACATTGTCCTTCCTTCTGTCTTGTTCCAAGGCATCCTAAGCAGGTGGCTTCTGTTGTTTGGCTGTAATTAGGGTAGTCCGAGTCTTACTTTTAGTGACAGCTTCTTTCCATCAATCTGATTTCTTTTTTGTCCTTCCTGAAGGACCTCGTAGGGGGCTGCCTGCCTCTCGTTCTACTATTTCTAGGTGTATCAGACAGGTCATTGTGCAAGCCTACTCTGTCAAAGGTAGGGCACTGCGTTTCCCTGGCTCATTGCAATTTGAAAGGCTCATTTCACTAGAGCCGTCAGTGCCACTTGGGCTTTTCAGCAAAAATGGCTTTAACTCTGCCTGTGTCAATGTATTTGGAATTCTTTGAAATTTTATATCATTATGTCATGAGTGGTCTTCTATGTCCTCCAGTTTTGTTTTTAACCAGCCTATATCTGAATGTTGCTGTGTACTGATCATTATGTGCTGTGAAGAATTTAGTAATTTTCACATGAGATATTTGATTTCCAAAGTCTTGCAGGGTTATTCACTAAAGGGGGAAGAGTTTGGAGAAGGCAGGATAAGTAAACAAAATTCTCCAACTTGGCTCACTTTCCAGTTCAGCTATGTTGTCCTAGATTGTTCACTTCTGCTGCCTTCTCCCTTCACCCTTTAGTGAATAACTCTGTTGGATAGTTGTATCAATTTTAGCAAATATAGATGTCATGTCCTGAAAACAACAGTTGCATCTAAAATTGCATCAACATTGATTGTTAAATAGGAAATTTCATCTGAGTGTAGGGGAGTTGGCCTAGAGCAGTTTGTGAGGCCTCAGAGTTTCCTGCAACATGAGGCAAGGAGCCCTCACCTTACTCTGCTTCTGTTTCACAGGGCAGCGTAATGTAAGAGAGTTGGGGCAGAGGACTTGTGTGATAAGAGTTGGTGGGAGTAGAGCTCCATTCTGGCCTATTCTGAGCAATCCAAACGCTGCTGCGAGGGGAACCCGATCACTAATGAGTGGTGCACCATCTTGTGCAGTTGTTGCAGTGGGAAGAAATCCATCAGTTTCTGCGGTCCCTTTTTCTTATGCTTGGAAATCCTCCATTGCCAGGCTGCCCTATAATGCTTCTCTGTGAAGTCACTGATAAATCTCTGTGGCATGAAAGCCTAGTCAGTATGTGGCCATCACAGAACCCAGCTGGCCACACCCCCAAACTTGCATCTTTTGAAATCATATAAGTAATGTAAGCTCCAACAGGTTTTTAAGTTTAGATTCCCTTTAATGTCATTGCTTGCTCCTAGGTTGTCATGATTTGCCTTGTGTGGCCTTTAAGAAAATGCTGTTGATAATGAATGGCATTCTTTGTGTATATGTAGCTAGGCAAATGCAGTGTGCTTGCAGGGGAATTCTGTATTTGAATGTATTTGAAATGCTTCCATCTGAGTGACCTGCATTTTGTCTCTGCATCAAGCTTCTTTTGAATTCTTATTGGTCTTGTTTTCTGCATCTAATAAACACTTTCTAAAGGAAATCTGTCACATTGAAAAATATTTGTGTGAGGAACCTTAGATGGAAACTGACATTCTCTAGCTCTTAGATAGCCTGCTAGCTCCAGAGCAGCGATGTTGCTCTAGTGAAGGCGAGAAGGGTAATTTTCAGTGCCCCAGAACTGATATATAGCATGGGGTTAGAGAATAAAAGCTTCCATTTGAGACTCCTCCCATAGCTATTTTGTTTTGTGACAATCCCATTAAAATAACTATATATTGCAAACATGTGCAATATAAGTTAGTAGACTACAAAGGTCAAGGAATTTACATAGTCTGTTTGTTTTTACTTCCACCTGTCATTATTCTCATCGCTGGTTTGCTATGCTGCAAACCCCTTGTTTCTTTTGCTTTTGGAAGTCCCAGTCGTCTTTGTATCTGCATGTGTCTTGTACTGTACGATAAAGAAAATAGGATTTTTGACTTACCAGTAAAATCTGTTTCTTGGAGTACCTTACAGTATAGGACACATGACCCTCTCCCTCTGTCCTCTAATGCTTGTTCAAAAAACGAGGATTTCCGGAGGTAACAGAGTTACCGTATATACTCGAGTATAAGCCGAGATTTTCAGCCCATTTTTTTGGGTGAATGGGTCCTCACAGCTCGGCCAGTGTCCAATCATCTGGTGATACCTGCATATTACCCAATCGTCTGTGAATTTTCCTGTGTTCTGTACTATACTCCACAAAACTGATTTTACTGGTAAACCACAAATCCTGTTTTAACCAGTTGACATCCGCGGTGTTAAACCCCCTTCCCATCCAGGCCTTATTAAAAAAAATATTTTTATTTTCAGGTTTTGGAAAAAGTGTCCTCCACTCTGGGATACAGAAGTGTGAAAGACTTCATGACCTCCCATTTAGATTACTTGATTCTCGAGTGGCTGAGAATGAACGTTACTGGCTACAACTTGTCCACATTTCCTTACACCTTGTTACAGAATGCAACACTGAAAGATTTCTATAGGTAAATGATAGCTGTCTTTATGTATATTACAAATATCAGATTCCAGTCTATTTCTAATTTAGTTGGACAAGAGGAAGCAAAAAGAAAATGGATTATAAATGAAAGAAGTGAAAGAAAAAAATAATGATTGATGATGAAATATAACAGTTTATAATGGTAGCATTTTTTTTTTTTTAGTGAAAGAGATTTGTATATACCGGTATCTCTTTTTATCTTTTAGTTTTTATTGTACTCTGACTTTGGTAAATTCCTATTATCTGTAAGATGCTGACAGTAGGAGCTGCAAGAGACAATGTAACTCTTGTGCACATACACGGGGGTTACATCATCACTGGGAGCCCAATTTCAAGAAAAAGAAGACACCAGGTAAGGAGAAGGTGGCAGTGGCCATCATGGAGTGACAAGAGGTAGTGTGTACCTTGCATCACTGGAAAAGGCCAAAATAGGAGGTTAGTCTGCCATAAATTGCAAATATGCGATGTATACTTGGACATTATGCCAAATGATCCAGGAACCCAGTATGGCTATTCTACTTAAATAACTTATTTTGTGCAAAAAAGATTATGCACATTTGCAATATTTGTGTGTTTGAATTGAGCATTTTGATGTTAAACCTTTTGAGACATAATTTGAAACAATTTATACACTTTCAGGTCATGCTACAAAGTGCTGATTCCACATTTGGTCATTCAGAGTGACTTTAAAGAAGTGAATTCCATCGCTCAGTGCATTGAAGAGGACTGGAAGGTCCTGTTGGCTGCTTGTTTTCCCAGAATTTTGGTGAATATTCTGCCATACTTTGTATCTGAATGCTCTGGAGACACTGATATGATAAAGAAGAGGGAAATCGCATACAAAGTCTATGACTTGCTTCAAGATGAGAACTGTCTCGGTAAACAGGTAATAGGAATACTCTTAAGGGAAACTGTAATGGTTTTAGGTTAGTTTGATGTTATTGAATTTATCTTTTTAGACTATGTATATATATAAAGCTTTATTTTACAAATATGCATTTATTACAGACTGCCCCTGATGGCATAGAGCATTATGGGTTTTCAAAGAGCGAACAATAGCTGTTTTCCTTCTGAGAAAAATGATGGGGCAGGGTATAAGCCAAATGCAGTTTTGTGCAATGTAAATAACTGCCTTTTTTTTTTTTAAAACAGAACAGCTACGTATAGACACGTAAATATGTGAAAAGGGACATAGAGCTCCACTATAACTGGCTGTAAATGTAAACATTGCCAGAGGTCCTATAATTCAAGTTCTGTTCTGGCTGCTATACTTGTAGAGCAGCCAAGATACTTACTGAGAAAGCCAAGTAGCATGATTTTGCATGGATTCATGCACTATTTATAACTTGGAATTTCAGAATGTTTGCATAAAAATAATTTGCGCTTTAACCTCCCTGTCGGTCTGATTTATTAAACATTTTTTTCCTTTTTTTTTGTTCTCGTTATTTTTACTTTTAAAATTCCCGCCGGTTCTGCCCCTTGCGACGCGGACGCTTGCAAGGGACGGAACCCGGATAACAGATGCCGGCATCGGCCGGAGGACACAGCGCGGCTCGAGGGACAAGGTAAGTAACGCTACGCTGTAATCCCGAGTGTGGCTCGGGGTTAGCGCTTATGGTACGGAAAATTAACCCCGAGCCACACTCGGGATTACCGCCAAGGAGGTTGAAGAAATAAAATACGTACGTTAATACTAGATAGATATTTTGTTTAGCTTTTGATATGTGGATTTTATTTCTCATGGGTGTTTGTTTGGAAACATGTTCTGTTTTTAATACTTCTTATTAATGTTCTAATTGTATGAATGTATAAATAAAACTTGTACTGAGAGGAATAAGGAGGCTGCCATTGCTGACCTGAAAATAGAAGTTGTCTGGCTACTTCTGGCTTTAGCACTTTAATAGCCAGTGAATTCTGAATTTTTTTTAAAACATTGTACTTGTCTTTGACAGTCACAATATTAATCCGGTAAACACAGGCTCCTTCAGGCTGCACTGCCATCTGCCGGCTGAAGGCTTATATAGTCAATATTTGACATAGTGATCGGGAAGCATTGTACTTGGTTCCTGATCATTTATTTTTAATTTTTATTTAGTACAGGTATTTTTATAGCGCCAACAATTTTTCACACAGCAATTTACATAGTGCACATTCACATCAGTCCCTGCCCTCAAGGAGCTTGCAATCTAAGGTCGCTATCTCACATACATACATACAAGGGCCAATTTAGTCAGGAGCCAATTAACCTACCAGCATGTCTTTGGAGTGTGGGAGGAAAACGGAGAACCCGGAGGAAACCCACACAAGCACAGGGAGAACATGCAAACTCCTTTTACAGATAGTGACCTGGCTGGGATTCGAACCTGATCATCTTTGGCACTGGAACGTTCATTGGAACTGAAGCTGCCAGAGACGGCTGGGATTGAGAGCCACCAGCTGCCTGTCTAGTTTCATATAAAAGAAGGACTTTTATAAATGTATCCTCAGCAGAGGCATCATGCTAAGTGCCTGAAATAACTGAACATGCTGTATCCTTTTTTTCTTCCAGATTAAAAAAACTTTTATGTTCATAGAGAATAACACCTCTCACCAGACTCATATCCTCTTTCTCTGAGGTGTTTCATAAAGTTAGTTATAGCTAATAGGCATTATGCTGGGGTCTGCTAATATACAGGTGTGAAATATTCTGCCTGGTTGCTTTGTGGTCAACAAGATTTTGTTCTATAGCAGATTTCATACATTGGTCCCAAAATGTTTTTCTTCTTACATCAGTATTGTACTTTTAGTAAACACAAAAATTAGAAAGCCTATTATTTCATGAGTGATATACAGTGCAAAATGTTTTTCTTCTTACATCAGTATTGTACTTTTAGTAAACACAAAAATTAGAAAGCCTATTATTTCATGAGTGAAATACAGTGCAGTAGTAACCCTTGTTCTGTCCAAATCCCATACATTAGCGTTTCTTCAAGGATTATATTACTGAAAGAAGTTGGTCTGTTTTAAGCTGTAATTTTTCAAGTTTGACTGAAAGCTATACTTGTGTTGTCAAAACATTTTATATCTTAAAACACTTTACAAATGACTTTTTTTTTAACTGAATTTAAATTGATGCTTGGCTTGTACATGTGACTGGCCTAAATGATAGTGATGCAACGATACCAGTACCGATACTCGTGTAAATGCACCGATACTTAAAGCCGAAACCTCCCCTTTAAATTTTTAAATGACTTCGGCTGCCTCGCTTGCTGGGGACCTCACGGCAGCCTGCTGGGGACCTCGTGGCGGCTTTTTACAGCGCCGGTCCAGCCTAACATCTCCTCCTCCTTCCCACCGCCCCCTTTGCCATGGGGAGACCTGGCACAGCCCTGGTGGGACTGGCACCCACCCGCACAGCCCTGACAAGGCCTGCATTACTGGGATTTGTACTCCTCTATAGCTGATGGTATTAGTCGGCATTGCTGTGTAATGTATTGCTGGGATTTGTAGTCCCCTATAGCCGGTCGTGTTCTGCATTGCTATATAATGTATTGCTGGGACTTGTAGTCCCTCTACAGCCTGGAGTCAGTGGCAGAACTAGCAGTGGCGCAGAAGTTGCAGCTGTGACCAGGCCCTGGCGCCCCACCACAGTCCTAAAATCACTAGTCTGTATTGTTTTAGAAAAACTGTAACATGGCACTAAAAAAAAGGTATCCGTAATTGGTATCGGCAAGTATTGAAGGAAAAGTATCGTTACTCGGTCTGGAAAAACCGGTAGCAGTGCATCCCTACTAAATGACTTACTTGCTTGAACCAAAAATGGCAATTATTTTTAGGTTTGTCTGTATAGATATTTCTCTCCCGTTCATTGAAGGACACAGGGAACAGATCGGAGATCCTGTACTGTAGGGTAATATCGCCACCTGCAGGAGAAGGACGCTAGGCACAAAACTAAAGACCAATCACAGCCTAGGGGCGGCCCCTGCCGGTGGCCAAAACCCCCCACCTGCTGACAAGTCTCCAGTTTTTTGCCTAGCGTCAGGAGTAAGGAGCTAAGAATTTTTTTCGGGTATTCTTTCCTGCTTCTTCCTGATCTTTTTCAGTGGAATCTTAATTCTGAGGAAGAGGGAGAAATTTCGGCGGCGGCGCAGCCCGACCTGGGGGATTCCTCCCAGGCGGAGTCTGCTAGTGACGAAGAGTCAGGGACTGCCCTTATGGTACAGGAACGCGAATTGGTCACGGCCTTGGTTTGCGCTGTGCGGGAAACGCTTAAAATTGAGTCCAGGCTGTGATTGGTCTTTAGTTTTGTGCCTAGCGTCCTTCTCCTGCAGGTGGCGATATTACCCTACAGTACAGGATCTCCGATCTGTTCCCTGTGTCCTTCAATGAACGGAGAGAAAAGGATTTTACGGTGAGTACCAAAATCCTATTTTTTCAAATGCAGTAGTTCATTAGCCATATAAGAATTGGTTTTTGTTTTTGCCTGTGTAATATGTTGTGTTGCTGATTGCAATGACTCAGTAACTATACAATAAAAAAATTGACCGTTGTACTCTTGAGTTTTTGGTTTATTATCATACAATATTGGAGGTGCAAGACTTTTTTATTTCTTTTTCTGAATGTTCTTTGCAGCACATTGATAACCTGTTCCTCCGGAATCTGCCAGATATAGTAGTTGAGCTCCTGATGACCCTACATAAATCCCCTAGTGGTACAATGAAGGATGATCCAGATGGTCCTCAGTTTTATGGGTAACTATGAGACAAATATTTTTGCTTTTTGCTTTAACTCTAAACTTTTGCGGATATTGCAAGTCACTGTTTATCAGGGGCAAAACAGCACTGCTGGTATAGCCTCTTATGTCATCAAGTCAAATAACTGTAAAACATCTAATCGACATAATGGAGAGAATTTATCAAATCTGAAGCAGTTGCCCATGGCAACTAATCGGCAAGATTTGAAAATGAGACCGCGAAGCTGACTGGTTGCAGTGCAAATCTGCTCTAGATTTTGTCTGCTCCTGTTTCCAGCTTCAATAGGTTTGTATCCTTGTTTACTTCTTCTATATTTAAATCATAGTTCTGACACAAGCCACCAGTAGTAAGCCTTCTCTTTTCATGTATGTACTAAATGGAAGCCCTCTATGTCCTCTCGAGCAAATGAGTCAAAAGCTTTCTGAAAATCATTTCTGTTTTAAATACTTTTTATTGCAGTGTGTGTCCACATTGGACAGATTCACTTTCCGCCTTGACTGTTGTGAGACTAATCAGATACCAAGAATTTCACACAATCACAAAAACATTTCTTTGTTTTAGGGAACTGGATCCACCTCCAAACCCCCCTTATTTCTCCTCCTATGTAATTAAAGCCACCTTGGATTATATCAGCAGTTGCCATAACAGTAAACTGAAAAGTATTGTGACAATTCTCTCAAAGACTCCGGTAAGTAGCCAATATATACCTAAATTTAGATATCTGGATAATGGTTAATAATAATTCTGCAGTTCTGCAAGAAATGTTTTTTGTTCAAAACAAATCTACAGATACTGTATGTGGTGTTGGGCTGTCTTGGGAGCTGTGATTCCATGACTCCTGTGTCTTATACTGGTTTTGCGACTATAATGCTAAATCACTGGGTGGAATAAATATAAAACAATAGTCAGGGCTGTTTTGCTTTGTAACAGAGTAAGCTTGCTTGTTTACTATCCATAGTTTTTTTCCCCTGAGTGTTATGTTTTGCCATGAATAAGGCTTCTCTTCTGTCAGGGGCTTATATTCAATCAGCCTATTGGCGTGCGGTTTACTAGGTAACATTTTCTGCATTGCATGCATATAATAAACAAAACAGTAAGTCACCAGCACTCCAAAGGTTGTCCAAGCAAAGTTCTTTTTAACGTTTACTTTACACATGGAATAAAAGGAACTTTGCTTGGTGCTGGTGACTTACTGTTTTGTTTATCGGATCCAGCGACGCTATCCGCGGTCATTTCAGCAGCCACCATTGGACAGAACTTAGCACCAGGGGTATGGCTTTTTGCCAGGTTGGGAGGGGGGGAAACTGGTGGATAGAAATGGTCTTGAAGAGACTGCAGTCATTTCATATGCAGCCACTGAATGCATGTGTTACTGTGTTATTACAGGATTCCTTCCAGAAGATTTTACTGTCAATATGCAAGCAAGCTGCAGAAAGCAGCAATGTCTACAAGAAACATAGAATCCTCACCATTTATCATCTGTTTGTTAACCTGCTTCTGGCAGAAATTAAGGATGGCTTAGGTGGAGCTTGGGCATTTGTCCTCAGAGATGTCATTTACACCTTGATCCATTATATAAACAGCAGGTTTGTATGTTTTGATTCCCACAAAAACAGTTTACTTCCATGCTACAACAAAAGTTCTTATCGGTAGCTCTGTAGCAATCTGTAGCAATAATCTTTAATATATTATTGTTCACTGAACATTCAGGGGAATTCAAAAAGAGTGTCCTTGAGTCGCATAAGAAAAGTGTCTCAGGGTTACAGGAATAGTGTTATTTGCGCCAATTCATGTACAAGGCTGCATAGCATTCATGAATTTGGCGCAAACCTTGGAACCTGCTGCTGGTTTGCGGGACAAGCTTTGGGACAAATACTGTTTATGCACACTGATAAAGTACACAGATGTGTTGCATCTCTGTCCAAAGTGTTGCATATGTGTTTGGGACCGATTTTCAGCTGCATCCTCAGTTTCAAAGAATGTCGCGTCTGAGGAATGTGTCGCATTGTTCATTTACAAAATGAACATGCGACAGACTGGTTAAACCAAAAAAAACTTGGTATTACTTTGCATCACTTATCTTATCAAATTGTTGCAGTTTATTTATTGAATATGTTGCAAGCACAACGCCTGACGGAAATGTGAAATAAGAACTACTTGAATTTGGTGCAGGATTCGGTAGAGGTACTGAAATGGTGCAGCATGTTTTAGAATTTGACGCAGACATTTCTTAGGCTGCATTAGCAAGTAACGCAAATGCAGTATTGAATTCCCCTGATGTGTTTACATGATTTCAAGTCACTTTGTTCATATTATGTGTTTATGTGCACTCATCCTGGGATGATGTATGTTAAGTAAACCTAATTTTTGTTGTAATATAAATTCTATGAGTGAAGGAGATCAACATCAGTGTGAACAGTCTTATGAATGGTTGTTAAAACCCTGCGTATAGTTTGTAATTGTCTGTGTACAAGAAAGCTCTCTCACACTGCTGGTTGACAGAAAAGGCTGTACAGTAACAATTGGTAGTTAGAAACAATGTGAGGAACAGCAGTTTCATGAAGTCTTTAACTTACAGATTATACTACCACCTGCAGGAGAATCAGACACTGGCATAGGAAAAAAAAACTGTAAGCCAGTCCAGGATAACCCTTCCCACTACCAGCATGACATTTGTTTGCTAGTATCCTAATGAAATGGATGTCTTTTTTTTTCTTTTTAGCTCTGCTTTGTAAAAGGCTAACTTATTTTTCATTGCACCCTTTTTTCTTAGTCCTCAAAATTTTACTTCAGTCAAGACTCTTCTCTGCATTGCTGCTTGTCCTTTCGATTGCAGCTAAGTGGTGCAGCTGTCCTCAGCCTGACCTTTAAAGTGGCATGGCTGGACCCCGCTGGATTGGACTTTATGAGGATAGTCTGCAAGTGACCTTTGGGAATGGGGTTCAGCTAGTGGCTTTCCAGAGTCCATGCTGGTTGCCCGCAAAGCACTTTCCAGGTCTAAAGCCGCTTGCATTGCCTCTTATCTGAAGACACACTTGTTTGTAGGCTGGGACTACCAAATTTGCATAAGGGGACCTTTACAATGTCCCATTTCCCATTGGTTTTCACTGTGGAAAGGGTAAATGCTGTGGGACTGAGTGCTGATGCCACTCTTGAAGGTGTTGCTTTCAGGTGTTTTGCGAATGTGCCCTACCCTCATTTGAGGAAGAGAGTGGGTGCTCCTGCTTGCAAGGAGCCACATGGAATTTTGATCTTCTATTAGACCCCTAAAGTTACCTATGAAGCCATGTACAACCGATAGTCATTTGGTAATGCTGACATTTGGCCTTTGGTTTATATGGTATTTTTAATGACCGGTGCACTTGAAGTTTGTCTGGAAATTCTGAAGTCTAACCAGTGTAGTAGTAGTAGTAGAAGCCATGTATCCGTATAAAACTAGTCGCCACACATGCAAATTACCACACCATTGAAATGCTTTTCCGGGTTGCCTCAGTGGCTGTGGATACTGGAAAAAACCCTGTTATTAAAACATTTTTAAATCATAAAACATTTGCTTTCCAATATATAATGCTTTCCAGTATATACAGTATTAAGTAAATTACTTAATAATCATTAAATAGTACCTAAACTCCAGAACAAAAATGTAAAATATTGTTTCTCTTCCGTTCATTGAAGGACACAGGGAACAGATCTAGGATCATGTACTGTAGGGTAAAATCGCCACCTGCAGGAGAAGGACGCTAGGCACAAAACTAAAGACCAATTACAGCCTAGGGGCTGCCCCTGCTGGTGGCCTAACCCCCCACCTGCTGACAAGTCTCCAGTTTTTTGCCTAGCGTCAGGAGTAAGGAGCTAAGAATTTTTTCTCGGGTATTCATACCTGACTTTCTTCCTGTTTTTTCGCTGATTCTTCTAGCAAGTGCTGCCAGGGCGACAGGCTGGATGTGGTAGATCCTTGTAGTCTCCCCTGGGCGGCCGGCGAGCGCATGCAGACTCTGCTACGGTGGGTCGGCTGCGACAACTCTGTCTCGACGGAGTGGCCTGTGGGCTTGTCCCAATGGAATTGCATATGTGTGGCTCCTGAACTTGCAAGAGTCTTGTCTGGGAACGTCCACTCATCTGAGCCTGGGTCTGGACCCCGTCCTTGCACAAGCTTTCTGCCCGCGGATTGCCAGTACTTGGATGTAGAGGCTGCAAACATTTTCTTTTCTTGTTTTAATTTATTTCCCTTTATTTTCACCTGGTATTCCTTCCAGTTACACACTTCCTGTCATAGTTTGACAAGGTCTACTTACGACTTCATTATAAAACAATAATATGAGTGGCACATCTACTTATTTCCCACATTTTCGTTTTCTGCTGAATTTGGGAGTTTGTCCATCCATAAATAATGATTATTGTACTGTAAACCTATTTTCTAAATTAGCCAATACTTGTATATTATTGTAGCCAAATTTACTGTTTACAAAATAAATATAGCCATCTGCTTTGCAAGAATGAGATAGGATGTTTGCATTTAAAGGTAACATGTCAGGATATAATATGGGGGCTGCCATATAAATATATTTTTATGATTTTCCTAAACACCAATGTCTTTCAGAACGGTTGGTCCCATGGATGATGTATCAACTCGCACTTTCATGCTGTGTCTTGATCTTTTGCATCGGGTTTGCCGGGCAGCCATTACCAACTGCAAGGATGCCCTAGACAGTCACCTGCATGTCATAGTGGGCAGTCTCATCCCTTTGGCAAACAGCTGTGCCAAAATACAAGAGCAGGTTAATGTTTTACATAATCTGAGAGAAACTAATGCAGTGCATATTAACATAATTTAATGCATTTCATTTAAAGCTCAATTGAACCCAGTGTATTTTTTTTCTGTAATACAGGCTTGCCTCCCTTGCACACTGTTCCAATAAATGGTGCGTGTCACAGTTCTGGAGACCAGATACTTCTGGAGACTGCGCCACTGCATGGCATGAGAGCAGCAGTCTGCCAGCAGTGTATTTTAACCCTTGGAAATGGAACTTGACAATGAGTAAAAAAAACCTACAAAAGCAGCATATTTATTACTGTATATGCAGCCAAACTGCATTACAGTAATAAATACAGGGGGTGTTCAATTGGCCTTTAAAAGTAATGAACTTTATAGTATAGATTACTTTTGATATGTCAATATTTAAGCATGATAATATTTTTCATTTATATTTATCTTAAAGGTGTGCGACTTGCTAACTTTCTTGGTAATCGAAAGCCAAAATAATGAAAACCTCTACCACACCATTAAACTCCTGGATCCCTTTCCTGACCACCCTCTATTTAAGGACCTGCGCCAGTCCCACCAAAAGATCAAGTACAGCCAAGGGCCATTCTCTCTTCTACAGGTATTAGCTCTATATCCCTGTTGTACAGTCATTATAAAAACTTTTACTAAGGATGAAGTTCTTGTATTCATTTAAACTTGGAAATCAACCACCTGGTTTGACATTACATGCCCCAGCACTTTTTTACCTTCTATAAACTATTCAGAAAAGTTTTAACCTCAGCTTATGTTTTGAAATCAGTTTGAATAACTCAACTTCTGGTTTTGTTCTTTTTAGGAAATAAACCATTTTCTGTCTGTGGGTGTCTATAATTCACTCCCTTTAACCAGACTGCAAGGATTGAACGACTTAAGGAAACAACTGCACAAAGATGAAATGAAAGGCCTTGTCCTTGATTTCCAAGGTACAGTGTCAGCTTTGTGTTCTCTCTCCTAACAAGCCCAAACATTTGAACTTGGTAATCAACAATTGTGCCAAAAGCATGTATGAATACACCTGTGTTATGAATGACACATGATATGTATTTTCTTATTTAGATGTTTAGATACATTTGTAAAAAATATATATATATTTTTGGAACTTTGATTATTGTAATGTAATTAATAAAAAAAAAAACATTTACACATTGAACCTTTAAAGTGCAATGCTGCCTTCCCCTATATCTCTCTATCGATCTTTATACTGCACTTCTAACCTCACTGCGCTAAAATGTTTAAATATTAGAATAATTTCATTCTAATGGCCATTGCTTCTTTGCTGGCCCGCAAGTAATCAGCATCTCGCTGGATCAGCCAGTGAGGGTACAATGCCATAGGAGAAGGGGAGTAGACTCTTAGCAGTTCTGTCGCTGGTGAATAGTTGCCACTAATAGAATTACTAGTGTCATTGCTCCCTGATGCTGCAGATCATACAATGTCCACATATTCCACTAATATATCACTTTTGTTACACAGGAAATCCTCAGGACAGTGTCACTGCAAAGCTGGTTCTTAGCCTTTTACAGTTGTCAAAGAATGCTGTGCACCTGGACAATGGGAAAGATTTGTTGGGTAAGAGGCATGTAATGAAATCTATTAAAAATTAGTTTTTCTGTAAGGTGTTTATATTTAGTTCATAAATGATCATGTTAGTCCTTATGTGAGAGTTATGCAGAAAGACGTTGCCCATAGAGCAAATCAGGTACTGACTTTCATTTTCTAAGGGCAATAGATATTGGATGCTTTAATCTGGCTGATTGTTAAGTAGCACGCTTGCTGTGTTTTCTTGTAGTCTTCCAGTGGCTTTTTTTAATATATAATTCTTGAGTTCTAAGTCTTAAGTGTAGTCAGTCAGAATTCGATTTCCTGAGATGAGCACAGTACATGATGTCTTAATTTTGCTTGCTTTGGATTACAATGTGTATTCATTCCTATGGGTGAGCAGGTATTCCTGCCAATAGGAATTAATGGGGCCATGACATACAGACACTAAAGAGGAGCTAGCTGGGTCCATGTTGACAGTAAGACTGCTGGATCAGGGGTAAAGGTAAGTATAAAACTAGGCTGTCTGCATTCAGGGTAGTGCAGAGCTGTAGTATTGGACAATTTTAATAAAAGTGAGACTGTCTCACTAAATCTGTTATACTCCTTTGGGACTTTATAACTGAAATTTCATGACTCTCCACTCTTCTTTAGATGATATACATAAACCAATTTTGAACACTAGTCTATTGTTTTCTTAAATCCGCTTTGGGTTACCCAACATTTGTTGCCCTTCAATGTGTCTTCTGGGTTTGATGAATGGCTCACAGTTCCTTTCTTAGTCCAAGAAAGTACTGAGAGCATTATATTTCTATGCCAAAAAATCTATTCTTTTCACATGGAAAATGTCCTCCCCTCCCTCATTAAGGGAGTGAAAGAGCCTGATTTAGAGCCTAGAAAAAAAGAAGGTGGTCGTTGCAATCTTTTGTTGCATGATATTAGTGTAACAGTTTTTCAAATGCAAATTTGCAGAAAAATGCATTTAAATTCATTTTAGTGCACAGAAACAATAAAATCCCCAATTTTTTGCTAAAATATAAAAGATGAGGTTGCGCAGAGTAAATAGATAATGAAAAGAACATGTCAAAAACATGCCAAGCCCCCTATGTTATATCTAATTAGTGGTGACAGGGGACCCCCTCCCACAGGTCATGCTTGATTAGCTTCATCCTTGGCTGCAGTAGCCAGGGAACAACAGCTCAGAACCCGGAAGTGACAAGATTCTTATCGCCTCGGAGTTCTTTGAATATGTTCACTGATCTCCTTCCCCTGCAGCTGCTGACACCCAACATGGCCATCCTGTGCCCACAGGAGATCCAGCAGAGCCCAGCATATAGGGTGGACAGCAGCATTTTGCAGGGCTGCTGGAAGTGATCAAGAGGCTTTGCAGCCACCACAATCACTTCCCGCAAAGGGTCCGCTGAATGTAAGTAAACTGCTTTCAAGTCAGTCACAGCTTTTGGAATGAGATTTGGTGATGTTACTATTGTGCTGCTTTCTGGGAAGACCACTGTATCTATGGACCTGCAGCTCAAGGATCTCCCTAATTCTACTTAATTAATTCTGTGAAACTGTGTTCCTCCACCTCTGCATTTTGATCCATTCATCCATCACAAGTCATCAAGGAGGCAACTCTGACATGAATAGGCAAAGCCCTGTCTTTACCAAGATGACTTCATCTACACATACAGTATACACAGTACGTAACAATGCATTGTAAGTCAGTAATCAGGAACGATCAGCTAAAGATAGACCACATGAAATACTGGTAACTGGTCCTTTGCCCTCTGTCTACTTTTTTGGGCACTTCTTCTGCAGTGTAGGTTCTTTGACAGGTTTTTCTGATTAAAGAAGAACTATGGGGTTATGTCTGGATCCGCCCAGCTGCGTGAGTGACAGCTGGCTCTGCCTATCGAGAGGCAGAGCCAGCTGTACCCGCCCCCTCCCCGTCCGTTCCACCAGTCAGCGCTGAACGATCGGAGCGGGGAGGGGGTAATCCAGCCCATCCCCTGTCACGGCAGAGAGCTGTGACAAGATCGAGAGGTGAGCGAACACCGGTATGTGTTCGCTCACTTCCCGATCTACTGAGCCGACCTGTGACAGTCTCATTGTCACAGGTCGGCTAGAACTATGAGGTGAGTGAAAAGCACTCACCTGCATAGTTCTCCTTTTAAGCATATCAAAATTCCATTTTGTAAAATCTAAATCCTCTGTAGAAAAATCAACATCCTGAATTCTGTATGTTTATTTTGCCCAGAATATATAAAAATGTTGGCCATACAAATTTTTTCACCGTTTGTTTTTTTACGTCATAGGACAATACGTTATGTTTCTGCTATATTCCAGTAGGTTCCATTAAATATTTTGTTACACTCATAAACATACAATAGTTTCCTTGTACATGTTTGCATTTGCAGAAGCTGCAGGGAGCTGTCTAGGAGAGCTGGGACCTGTTGAGTTTTGCACTATTGCCCTGCAGCCCCAGAAAGAGCTACTTTATGGCAGAACTGCTGATGTGTTTGAAGACAAAGAGCTGCAGTGTGTACTTGTCATTCTGAAATTAATAAACAACGCCTTGACGGATCACTGGTGCGTAGCTTCTCTCTGTTGCTTTTTTCTTCTTATATACTGTGTCAGAAGTGTTCTCTAAGCCGAGATTGTTACACCATGTAGCCAAGAGCACTGTCACTTCTGTAAACTAATAGAAGGTAACAGGAGATATTACTGACTTTTTTTGTCTTACTGACACGTCTGAAAGCTTTATGTTGATCTTTCCTTCCGTAACTCGGTAATATTGAATGTGATTGTTTTTTCTTTAACCCTTTCACTGCCACCAATGTAAGGGTTACAGAAGAACAGAACTACTTGCGGCTGGCCAGCTCAGTAACCCATATAGGCATCTGCATGCTCTCCTGCTTATAAGCTTATGGTTGCTTCAGCAACCATGAACTTATAACAGGAGGGTCCCCCTAGACCAGGGGTAGGCAACCTCGGCTCTCCAGCTGTGCTGAAACTACAAATACCACGAGGCATTTATTGCAAGCCACAGGCTTGACTCCCAGAGGCAGAAGCATTGAGGGAATTTGTAGTTTCAGCACAGCTGGGGAGCCAAATTTTCCTACCCCTGCCTTAAGGTGCCCATACACCTTACGACCATCGCAAGACTTTTGTCTTGCGATGGTCGTAAGCTTATTAAAAGCTCGTACGATCTGCCCATCTTGGACAGGCAGATTGTACTTGTGATCATCGAAAGTCCGCCCCACTGAGCGGCGGGCTTCCGATGACCGCAATGCAGAACGGGCAGTGTGCGTGTGCGCACACCGGCCCGTTCCGCAGCTGTCGAACGAGCAGGCTAGAAACCCGCCGACAATCGTACGATTCTCGGCCGGTTTTCGAGCATGCTGGTTCGACAAAAGACGTGCGACCGTACAGTAGAAACGGTCGCACATCTTCGTTCACACTGCTCGATTCTCGTACGATCGCGGGATGTCCCGCGATTCTCGTACGAGAATCGAGCAGTGTATGTGCACCTTTAGACTGCTGATTAATGAATAGCTGTGATCAGAGACTGACAAAGCGCTGATTACAGCCATTCATTATAAATGTGACCACAATGTGATCTTTTTCTCTAACTCAAATCTTTAACTCACTCTCTCCCTCTGTACTCTTTCACCCACCCATCCTCCTTCTCTTCCTTTTTGTCAGGTTTTACAGTATATTGTGTACACCTTACAAGGTCAAGTGCAATAACGTTTGATTACCAATAATACATTGCAAACATAAGCATACAACGCAGATAGGCAAACAAACCGCCATTGTATCCTGCAAGCTCAGGTATATACAGGTGGCCAGATTATTATGACCACCCCATCAATACTTCGTTGGGCCATGAGATGACTCCATGAGATGACTTCGTTGGGCCGCCTCGTGACTCCACGAGATGTTGAAAGGTGATGTGAGGAATCTGACACTGCACTGTTGCCCTTCTTTTGTCTTGTACCAGTCTTGCCACTCTCCGTTCTGCCCTAACATTGACTAGTCGCTGACGGCCACAATTCACACCTTCAGACCCAGATTTTCGGCTGACAGTCCAGTCTTTAAACACTTTAACAACAGCTGCTCTTGAACATTTACCGAACCCTGCTGTTTTTTGCTGATACTTGCTCCATGGCGCGAGCACCAACAATCATCCCACGTTCAAAGGCTGTTAAATCGCGTTGTTTACCCATATCTTCAGAAAAAAATCACTTCTACTGTCGTGGTAAACAACCTGCTTCCCTATTTATAATGGTCTGGCCCTCTAGCAACTTCAGCGCCAAATCATAGCCAATTATAGCTAATTTGCCTACAAACGTCAGGTGGTCATAATAATCTGGCCACTCAGTGTATACGCTGATCAGCCATAACATTATGACCACTGACAAGTTAAGTGAATAACATTGATTATCTCATTACAATAACACTATGCTGACCTGTGTCCAAAAGTACTTATAATGGGCACATGAGCATCAGAACTGGACCACAGAGCAATGGGAGAATATGGCCTGGTCTGATGAATTACGTTTTCTTTAACATCATGTGGATGGCCGGGTGCATGTGTGTTGCTTACCTGGGAAAGAGATGGCACCAGGATGCACTGTTGGTAGAAGGCAAGGCCGAGGCAGTGTGATGCTTTGGGCAATGTTCCACTGGGAAACCATGGATTTTTTCTTCCCCAGTCTTCTGACAGTGGCCATGTTTACTAAGGGAAGATTACCGTATTTTTCCGTCTATAAGACGCCCCCATGTATGACGCCCCCAACTTTTCTTACCCAAAATTCAGAAATCAATATTTTAAATGATATTATGCATCACACTTACCTCTTGGATCTCATGAGATTTCCTAGCAATGCTCTTCTGATGACAAGACAATCCCAGTGTGCATTGCTTTGGCAAACTGAAGTCATTTTGCCCTTTCAAAGCAGGAAGTGAAGTTACAGGGAGTGTAACTATTTCAAAATCACTGCATTTTACACCTGACATGTCTATGTTATTATTAATCGTCATACATAGAGGGATGCATTGGTAGAATTTGATTTTTGGTTGTAAAGGTGCCTGGTCAGGAGATCACATTTTTTTCTGACAAAAATCTTCTAACCAATTTGATCGCTGTTGGGATTCCCTGTTTAGTTCAATGCATGTTTTTACTTTTAGCATCAATGTACGATCAGCAGCTGCTACATGTCTAAAAAATATCTTGGCCACGAAAACTGGCAGTCAGTTTTGGGACATGTACAAAGAAAGTGGAGACCCTATGCTGGTTTATCTGCAGCCATTTCGCTCCCCAAAGAAAAAGGTACTTTTTTGTGTCTATTACCGTAATATGATTTCTCCTATTGATTTTGTAATTCTGTTGTGGATCTTTTAGCAAAGTAATAGCCTTTAAATTGCATAAATATGTAAATACACATTTTTCAATGGACAGCTACCAAACAGCACTTTGTGCACCCATTAGCTTTTAAACTGGCTGTCAATGACAGATTTGGTCCCCATTAATAATCAGAAACCAATTGGAGTTGTTCCCAGTCACATCAGCTATGATATAGTCATCACATGCAAGCTGAAGACTTCGTTCAGAAAAAAATATTTCAGCTTCAAATGCCACTGCAGCCTGTAGATGGCAGTGTGTCTCTGTTTAATACCTGAATAGTTAGATACAGTTCCTCTATTAAAACGATAATACATTAAATGGGAAATGTTTTTAAAAAATGGATATATATTAGCCAACTCATACTGACACTAAAATTGGCATGGGCACCTAGACTTGAATTATCTCTGGGCACAATAAGGTTAACTCCAAAGTATAAGTCAACCTGTGCTTTATTTAGCTTTGCTGCTTTCTATTGTTGGGCCCTATAGTAGGTCTTCTATTATACAGTATGCTATTACTGGTTTTGTTACCTGCTGTGTTTGTTTTTAGTTTTTAGATGTGGAGAATACCCATGTGGGAGACACTACAATGGATATATTGGATGACCACAGTTTATGGATCCCGCAAAATGTCAGCCACGAAGACTGGATAAAGAACTTGACTTGCACCCTGCTAGAGTCTGGTGGAATTAGAAGTGAAATCTTTTTGTTACTGAAACCAATGTGTGAGGTGAGTTTCTGAGCAGTGGAATTGAAAAGTGTGACACCAAAATTATAATGAGAGACAAAAAAGATCCTAAGGGCCTGTTCACATGAGATCAGGTCCTGATCAGGGGTGGATCTGCAGACTGATGCAGTGCGCTTTGGCCACGTTTTTTATGCTGGAGTGGGGCTGTTAGTATGTTAGCTGCAGTGCAGTGCGTTTTTGACGCGTTTGCTGACCGTTTCGGGACTGGACAAAATGTGACATGCAGTATTTTTTCTGTCGTAAGCTGAACGGTCTGCGCACGTGAGAACTGGAGCCCATAAAAAAAACATAGGGATACATTGGGATGTATTTTGAGTGCAGCAGCGTACGGAGCCGGTCAGCACACAAAACGGACGTCGTGTGAACAGGCACTGAAGCTGGTTTGCTGTTTTTCTGATTGTGGATGTAGTTGTTCGGTTTTTGTTTTTTTTCCATTCAAAGTTTTTTTATTAAGTTTTGACAGCAATAATAAAGCATACAACATAACATGTAAACAGTCATTTCATCGATAATATTCAAGTACAAAAGATTATACTATATTGTATATAGTATATACACTGAGTGGCTAGATTATTATGACCACCTGACGTTTGTAGGCAAATTAGCTATAATTTTGCGCTGAAGTTGCTAGAAGGCCAGACCATTATAAATAGGGAAGCAGGTTGTTTACCACGACAGTAGAAGGGATTTTTTTCTGAAGATATAGGTAAGCAATGCGATTTAGCAGCCTTTGAACGTGGGATGATTGTTGGCGCTGGGAGCCATGGAGCGAGTATCGGCAAAGCAGCAGAATCCGTTAAATGTTCAAGAGCAGCTGTTGTTAAAGTGTTTAAAGACTGGACTGTCAGCCGAAAATCTGGGTCTGAACGTGCGAATTGTGGCCGCCAGCAACTAGTCAATGTTAGGGCAGAACAGAGAGTGGCAAGACTGGTACAAGACAACAGAAGGGCAACAGTGCAGTGTCAGATTCCTCGCATCACCTTTCAACATCTCGTGGAGTCACGAGGCGGCCCAACTAAGTATTTATGGGGTTGTCATAATAATCTGGCCACTCAGTGTATTATACTATATACAATATATAATATACTATATTGTATATCAGCGACTGAAGTTTCTGAACATAATCCACTAACTCAAGATACAATGCGAGTCAGAGGTGATTGTGAATTAAAAAGATTAAAGAGGAAAGGAGAGGAAGGAAGAAAAGAGGTAAAGGGTGAGAGCAAGAGTCTTGTCGCGGCAGAAATCCAAACAACCCAACCCCCCCTTCCCCCTCGGGTGGGTGCAGGTAGAGTTGTTATCCTTTATATTTCCTTAGACTGTCTGGGGCTTGCTTTTTACACTTCTATAAAACATTGTATAGTACGTTTTTCAGTCTTGATCAAATTGACATAGTTTGAGTTTGCTCAACAAATCCTACCATCTGATCATTACTGCAGTGATGTCATATTTTCCTTGCTTCTATCTTTTTAACATTCCATTGTTTGTTCTATTACTGCAAGCTTCACTTATATGTCTTAGGACAGAGGCTTTTGACAAACATCTTGTCTAGCTGGAACCTCCTTTATAACACTACCTCAAAAGAGGCACGTCATGCTCACCACGCATGTGCAACGTTAAAAAAAAAAAAACATGAAAATTTGCATTGCTGGTACAAGACTTGGCATTCAATGTTGCCTACTTTAAGACATTATTAGACTGCAGGACGAAAACATTTTTCAAAAACACCAGACTCTTCTGTAAGATGATGCCAATAAATTGGAACATTAGATGTTAAATTGAAAAAGTGGTTTTACTAGTCATCTGTCCCATACAGTTACATATATATAAATGACATGAGATGGTGGCTGGATATTAGGAATCAGTCTGATCTGTCTGCTGTGACATGCATATAGATTTTTAAACGCCTCATAAAGCACAACTTCAGACAATACTTTTTATTTTGGTTTGAATGAACTTGGGATGGGTTAGCTTTGATTGACATTTTTTTTATTGCTGTCCTGTTGTGCAGGTGTCACTGGTACAGAAAGTGAGGGAAGAACTCTCCAATGGGATTAGTGTTTAGCACATAAATGCTTTTATGTATAATTGCCAGTGCTGCTTTTTTGAAAAATGATAGAGATTTTAGCCAACCGGAATGAGGTCAAAGTTACTACCGGTAGAAGGCCTTAGTCTTGCTATAATAGCAGGTGTTAGTTAATACGCATTGCTCCGGTGGAATTTGCATTATGCTGTTAAAAACGTTTTTTTAGTGTTTCAGGCATAAATTTAATTTTGAGTATTTGGGTGTCTTACAGGTGAAACCGGATTTTTGCCAGGCTGTGTTGCCTTATTTTATACATAATATTCTGCAAGATTCAAGAAATAAGTGGAGGATACTCCTTTCCAAGCAAATCCAGGGATTTTTCACGTCTTGCTGTCGCTCTGTGCCAGCTTCTAGCAGAGCAGCAACTCCAGCAAGTTCGGACTCAGGTAATATCCTGTAGAAGGAAATAATGCAAACCTCAAGAAAATCCAGTTATTACAACGTTCTTCGCTCTATTCATCTGTTGCATTTTTAGAGGGGCTCCCATTCTTCCTTCTCATGGATTCATTTATTTCCCACTATGGTGAACACTGCAGAAGCATTAAAAAATCCCACTATCACAGAAAAAGTGGAGCTCCATGGTGGGGGTGGGTAGTGCTGAAGAACCCTCAGTACTCGTGTCCCCAAGAGATAACAGACATTTAGTAGGTTATTCAGCTTAACAAATTATTTGTTTTATGAAAACTATCTCATTAAGAGGTTACTGCTATTTTGGAGACAGTAACTTGACTGCAATTTGTATAATTTGGCTACTAAAATAATGACATCTTTATTCTGTAACTCTGTGGACTTCAGTTAAATTCATTGCTTCATGCACATGATCTTTTTCATAAATGACATTTGAGATGCCCCATTTGGACTTAATAGAAGTGAGAAGAAGTTGTAGTGAAAGAACAAAACTTATAACAGTATTTTCTTAATGTAGAATCTGATGGTCTGGCTCGTGGGACAGTGGACATCGCCTCAAGAAGGACAATGCTTAGTGTTGTGGAGTATCTGAGAAAACAGAGACGGTATAGTATTTCCCCTTTGGTGCTAAACACATAGATGAATTAGTGAGATAAAAGCCTATGATGAAGCATGAGCAGGAAAAGGGTTGTTTTATAAATCCGTGTATTTGTAGGTATAGTACTACCCATCATTCATAACCATCAAGCAGAGCCGGTCTAGAATAATAAAACACAAAGCTTAAAGGTTTAATGTAGATTGTCAGTAAAGCAGCCACCAGTTAAGCAGCCACAATAAAAGCCACCTGCATTATACCCGACACCTCAATGCTACAGCTGCCCTTTCCTGTGCAAGTACTTGGAAAGGATTATTCCATCCAAAAGCCCACACTGGGAGGTTAGGCCTTTTGGTTTTAGATCTGAGTAGTCAGTTTGTAAGAAATCACATAGATTAATGTATCCTCCAGTATGAGGCATCGTGCAGGGGAATATTCATCTAGAGTGTAGCCAGAAATGTTTCAAAATGTATTGATTTTGGTCAGACCTAAAAATATATATTTTTACTTTTAGTCCGGTAAAAACAAAAATGTAATACAACTAGTAAACATCTTGTCTAAAAACATCTATTAACACAAACCTTTAAGTTTCTCAAACCATTATAGTTTCCTTTTATTAAAGGACAGGATAGGAAAAAAGTGTCTTAACTGCAATATCTATAAGAATATAAAGCATGACACAAAAGCTAAACATTCAGAATGAATCTCTTACCTACTGTCAGTAAAATAAATTCATCTGGTATAAGTTTTGGATCATTGTTGGTCCTTGCAACGCATTAATAAGAGAACTGCTTGTCTGATAATGTGATTTGTGTATCATTGTTTTTTTTTTTTAAATCAGATCATTTTTTATTATAATTTTTTAAGAAGTTACATAAAGAAAAAAAAGAAAAACTTTGAAATTAACACCTTCAGAACCTCTGGGACAAACAATTAGGAAGTCAGTCCAGTATAACACATTAACATCAGAACCTTGTACAGAGTGTAGCATATTATGCAATTAAGTCGCATGTTTGTAAGGGGAGAAACACCTCCCTTAAAGGAGAACTATGGGGTTAAGCTTTTCCCCATAGTTCTCCTTAGGGTAACGGGAGGACACAAACTAGCGTCCTCCTGTCACCCTAAGTTCAGTATACCGCAAGCTACTGCTCGCGGTATACTGAGACGCTGAAGCGGAGCCCGACAATTATGTCTGGATCCGCCCAGCTGCGTGAGTGACAGCTGGCTCTGCCTATCTAGAGGTAGAGCCAGCTGTACCCGCCCCCTCCCCCGTCCGATCAGCCAGTCAGCGCTGGCAGATCGGAGCGGGGAGGGGGGAATCCAGCCCCCCCCCTGTCACGGCAGAGAGCTGTGACAGGATCGAGAGGTGAGCGAACGCCGGTATTTGTTCGCTCACCTCCCGATCTACTGAGCCGACATGTGACAGTCTCATTTTCACAGGTAGGCTAGAACTATGGTTCTCCTTTAAGTATTCCAGCGATCCAAAATCTTATAGAATTCATCAAGGGAACCCTTATGTTAAAAGGTGTGTTTTTCAAAAGAAACTAAATGGTCCAACTTTGCCACCCAGGCCTCCTCTGCTGGATGGAGGCCTGGGTGGCAAGGGTATGAAATCCATTTCAGGACCAGCATTCTTCGAGCAGCAAATAAAGCCTTGGGCAAGGAAGTGACAGTAGAATTATCTAATTCAGAGGACTAAAAAACAGCCAATATGCATGCAAGAGTATTATTGGGTAAAGATGTACCAAACATAGAAATTTTCTTACCCAGAATCTCTTACCAGTACTGCATCACTTTTCGGGCAGCGCCAGAGTAAATTTAATTGTTTATTATTCTTTCTGCAGACCGGGGGAGGGTACAGCTTTTGATGACAATTTCTGGTTGGATCTAAATTACCTTGAGGTGGCTATGGCGGTACAGTCCTGCTCGGCCCATTTCACAGCTTTGTTGTATGCTGAAATTTATGCTGACAAGATCAAGCTGGATGGGGAGCAAAGAAGGTAAGTGATTTTCTGGCCTTTGAAATTAATATCTTGATGTAATACTTATATAAACAAAGTAACTGTCCGATTTCTCTTATTTGATAACTGTACTTTATCCCGGTATGTTTTATATGTCAGGGGCACTTCCAGTGCTCGCAAGTCTTTGAAATTTGAAGAGGAGAGTCAGACTCTGACCATTGTCAGCATGAGTGAGAGAAGCAAGGAGGAGACTGGGATCAGTTTGCAGGTATGTACAGAATAAGAAGAGATGTTTGTGTATTACTTTTACCTTTACATTTAAACTATTTTGGTGCCAGTGTCCTATTAAAAGCAAGTCGCCTAACCCTATTGTGAACAGATAAATTAACGTAGTCACTTGCACTCCGAATGTAGTAAAGTCAATAGTGTTTATTGACTGTGATGATACACATCTCCTAAGCAACGTTTCGGGACCGTGCGGCCCCTTCCTCAGGCAAACAGACTCCCCTTCCTGTTTGGAAGGGGCCGCACGGTCCCGAAAACGTTGCTTAGGAGATGTGTATCATCACAGTCAATAAACACTATTGACTTTACTACTTTTGGAGTGTGAGTGACTACTTTCATTTATCCATACTTTGCGGAGGCATCCGTTGTCACTATTGCACCCGCCCGGCTGCGTTGGGCTTCTTCCGGTCACGAGTGCGATGGGACATGAGGATTAACTATTGTGAACAGAGGTCATTGTAGCCAAAGGCCCAGACTAAATTTAGCAGCTACAGCATGTATTGGTTTATATGAATATATCTCTATAGCTAATTTGCATACCTAATCAGTTTTATGTATGCACAGTAAACTCACGGTTATCCGGTACCCATGGCGATTGGTAGATGCCCGGATAACTGTAGTTTCTGGTTGCTAGAGAGTTACTATTAAGTCTCAAGCAACAACCTCGCCCCATTCATCTGCTGGCCAGATTCTGCTATTGGCTATTTCAAATTGCCATAGCCAATAGCAGGATGGCTATTGGACACTCCTACTGCCCGTTGTTTACATCCACCTGCGTAATCTAGCCGTCGGCAGCAGCAAGATGTAATCAGAGAATATTGTTAGCAACTACATTTATGTAGTTTTTAACAAAATTATTTAGTTTGCACATGTCTATCAAGCGACTGGCAAAAATATTTGAAATTGCCAAAAAAGATGAAATGCATACATATGAGTTGTTTTACCTGCCAAGGTATTTGAATTTCTGAGATTTACATAGCACTACAACACAGTACAGCCCTGGTGATGATGTATGTGTAAGTCAATCATAGGATTTTAAAGTCCTTTAAAGTGACACTAAACTCAGGCGTTAAATCTTAAAATATGCATTCAAGTACCCAAACTATTAACAAAAATGTATCTTATTTGTGTATCACTCAGCTGTAGATCCTCAAATCATCTCTGAATTGGTGCTGACACTGTCCTTCCTTCTTGACTCTAAGATCACTCCCTATAACTTCAATACAAATTAGTAAATTAAACGTGAGATTGTAGTCCACCATGGGAGTGAGCTTGGAGTGGTGGATACTTTACAATACACAGAGGGACCATGGGAAATAGAAGTAGCAACCCTCCAGAAGGGAGGACAGTGTCAACATGAACTCAGATGATTTGAGGATCTACAGCTGAGTGATACACAAATAAGCTACATTTTTGTTAATAGTTAAGGTACTTCAATGTATTTTTAAGATTTCCTTTCGGAGTTTAGTGTCACTTTAAAGCTTATTTCCGCTATGTGTTCACCTATTTGCCTGGAGACCAACGTTATATGACCTGAAAATGCCCTGACTTCAGACTTAATGTAGTAATACTGAGCAGGCTGGCCTCTTGCAGTCTTCATGAGCAAATTCAGACCCTTTCAATTATAATTGATAGCCCCTTTTCTTGGAATGGCCAATTCAGATGTAATGAATTCCATTGCGCACCAATATATTGGACTAGCCAAGCACTGATGCCAGCTTTCTCCTTTAGTGACATTACTTATAAATTCTGAAATTGTGGTTCCCAATATAATTTATTTTTTAAAATCAAACCTTGGTCTTTCATGTAGTTCTTTATAGTGTCAGTTGCCATATTGATATATTTTTGTCTGATTTAGGACCTCCTGATGGACATTTACAGGAGCATTGGGGAACCAGACAGTTTATATGGATGTGGTGGAGGGAAAATGCTACACCCACTTGCCAGGTAATGTTATCCACCATGCAAGGAGAAATATGTAAGCTGCCAGCTGACCACCTCTGCCAGCTGACCTTGCTTGCCTGTCCTGATGATCTCATGGTACTTTCTGAGTCACTGAAATAAACATTTGCTGATCAGAACTTCACTTTGACTTCACTTGTTTCATGCTTGTCCTGGGTAGGCGATTAATAATGTAGTGTAGTCAGAGCAATTTACTGTAAGAAGACTGCATCAACCGCATTTATCTTTTTCTTAGTGCAGGTTTCATTTAAAGCTGAACTCCAGACAATACACAGATGAAATACATCCAATGGAGCTTGTTTACCTGCCAAAGCAGTTGTAGTTCTGTCCACCCAGTCCCGAGATTTACACAGCTTCACCACACAGCACAGACCTCTCTGGCAGTGTAGGGGACCTGAGTTTTCTCTGCTGCAGTTTCTCTTTCACCTACAGGTTTCCTCCAATGACCACTTTTAACAGGGAAAGAAGAAGCAGCATACTGATATGCTTATCTCACTGTCACCCTTCTCCCTCCTCCTGTCAGCATACTCCTTGCTCTGCTGCTGCACACTTAATTAGTTGGTTTTTCTGCTCCTACCTCTTCCTGCCTGAGCTCTGCTGTACAGTCACTGGAAGAGGCTATTCCCAAACTAAATTCAGGAATTTACATTGCCTATTAAAAAAAAGGATGATGATTTAATGAATACCGCACTGCATTAAGCAGTGCCTTTTTTTCTGCCTGGAGTTCAGCTTTAAGGTTTTATTTATAGGTGAACATTTTGGGCATATTTATAAATTATTATTTACTGCAGGTGAGGCTTTTTAGGTGTTTAAAATGGCAGTGATTAATTCACCACCAGTGAATGTTTGGTAAAAGTCACTTTCATTCCTTTTTAAGTATGCTACTTTATTTTTTATTTAAATCTTGTAATCCTGAGCTATTGTTTGTATTGTACACAACTTGGCGAAAAGTTGTTCACTTTAAGGTCATTGCAAATTATGAGGGGGCGCTCCTTGCACCTGGAGAAAGAGGATTTCTTTCTTGTTCATTAATGGACATGGGATCAGAAGTAATTCAAAGACAACTGGGTTATACTGTTGCCTCCAGGAGGAATTGGACACTGGCAAATAGAAAAATTAGCTAGTCGGGTATAACCCCTCCTGTTCCCAGCATGTTCCGTTTTGCAATAGTGTCCTAGGAGGATGGACGTCTTTTCTCTTAATAGAAAAGTTAAGATTTTCTTTTGATATAAAGATATGTATTTTTTTTCTTCAATCAAGATGTTATCAGTACACTGCTGAGCTTTGCTCTCTTTGCAGTTATTCGGATCAGCTAATCTTGGAGGCCATACCTGGACTCCACTGGCCTGAAGATTGCGCGACCTGTCTGTAATGTTGATTAGAAATGTCCAATCGCACTCCAGACCGACATATCACTATATATGACTTCAATGGGTGCTGAAGTGGCCATCCGATGTCTCCGCAAAACAAGAAGAAACTGTAAGGTTATCAGCACACCAAGGTCCACATAGATCCATCCTTTATTGACGTTCAGATCAACTTGGTGTCACAGATAATAGCAAAGTTTTGGAACCCTATTTGGTCCCTTCATCAGGCATTGTTTTGCCCGATGAAGGGACCAAATAGAGTTCTGAAATGTTGCCATTATCTGTGACACCATGTTGATCTGAACATCAATAAAGGGCAGGTCAATTATGTGGACTCCGGTGTGCTAGTGACCTTACTGTTTCTTCTGTCTGTAAATGTGACCCAAGAGCAATGGGCTTTGCTTGTGGCACTCTCCAAACTTACAAGGTACTGGTTTGTTAGCAGCAGAGTGCCTTACAGGTCCAGGTCTGTGGCACAGCTTCTGATAAGTCCCTGAAGACTCGCTAGTAATTATGCCTGTGGGTGGGGTGAAAATAACCTAGAATACGATCATATAACTCCAACATCTCTCAGTTGCTCTGACAGATTATCATTCAAGCCTATCCGTTTAAAGACAAGGTATCGCCTTTTCCTGTCAAGGTGCACTCTACTAGGTCTGTCAGTACTTTTTGGGCATCAGACATCTGTTTCTCAGATTTGCAAGGCTGTCATAGGGTCTTCTGCTCTATCAAGTTTTATCAAGTGAATGTTCAGGCCTCAGATGATGCAAGCTTGCACACTGCCCCCAGTTTTTACATTGTTGTTAAATGGGCTTGTTAGTGTTTCACTGCTATTAACCACTTCTCAGTTGGAGTGCTTTTGGATTTGCCATTTGTCTCTAAATTACATCCGGACCTGTGTCCCTTAATGAGTGAGAAAGAAAACAGGATTTTGGTACATACAGTAAATTTACTGTAAAACACATTTCTTGGAGTTCATTAAGGGACACAGGTCCCACTTCTCTGTGTTTAAGTTCAACTCTTAATATTGCCTTTCTTCAAAACTGAATCATGATCGGAGTGGGAGGGTTTACAGCTGACTATCTAATGGCTTTATTTTGTGTCCAGTGCCTCTTGTGAGTATAACCCAGTTGTTTCTGAATTACTTCTGATCCTCTGTCTTTTAATGTAAGAGCTTATATATACATTTAGGGCCGGTTCACACCACAAACAGCGAGTTCCAGAGCAGTCAGCCTCTGGAATGCACCGTATCGCATTTGGGCCAGCTTCCTGCGGGAAGGGGCGTGGTGGTGCATTGCAGTAAATGGAACCTGAATCCCTCCTGCAGTGCGATCGCCCGTACCAGAACGCGTGGCACATCAGTGCCTGTGTTCCAGTCCAGTGCGATCTGCAAAAATAGTGCTTGCAGCATTTGATACAGTGCTTTCCAGAGGCTGAGCACTCTAGAATGCACTGTTTGTTGTGTGAACTGGCCCTGAATCCTGATGTAGTCAAACCTATGAGTTACATTTATCTAATTGGTGAATTGCTACATAACTACTTGCTCTTTTGTTGGTGACAGATGTGGGTAAATGCACATTTTTTTTATACTGTATCAGAATTCGAACATATGAACATGAAGCCATGTGGGGAAAAGCCCTGGTAACTTATGACCTGGAAACCAGTCTTCCCTCTGCTACTCGCCAGGCTGGGATCATGCAGGTATATCTTGTAGCTAAGCTTATTTTTATAAAATTTTGTTAACGATACCATTGTTCAGGTTACAGTAAAGTAAACAAGTGACAATAGAGAACAAATGTGAATATAACTATCCTTAAACCATTAAAATTCTAGTTGTGTACACTCACTGATTCATGTTTGAGAAGCTGGGTATGATGCCCTACATTATTGCATTATGTACATAAGCATTAGGAGATGAGTAAAACAAATAGCATAATTCCCATCACAACTATAACCTATCAACCATGATTGCAAATGCAATACAAAAACAAAATAACGATTCAGATATGCTGTCTTTAACCAGTTGACATCCGCGGTGTTAAACCCCCTTCCCATCCAGGCCATTTTTCAGTATTCAGCGCTGCGGTACTTTAACTGACATTTATTCCGTCATGCAGCGCTGTACTGAAATGAATTTTATACCCTTTTTTGGGGACAGATAGAGCTTTCTTTTGGTGGTATTTATTCACCACTGGGGGTTTTATTTTTTTACTATATTAAGGAAAAATTACCGAATTTTATAAAAAAAAAACAGTTTCCCCTATATTAAATGATAAAACATTTATTATTACCCAATTTTTTGGTAAAATATAAAAGATGGGGTCACGTCGGGTAAAAAGACACTAAACATGTCAAGCCTTAAAATTGCGTGCGCGCGCGAAACCTCAAAAAACGATAATACCCAAAATTGGCCCTAGGCGACGCTTTAAAAGCTGTTACCGCTCATCAGTTTAGTGTTATCAGTGATTGATGGCCCTAAAATGATTGCTCTCACTGCGACGTTCGCGGCGATATGTAACATGTGTAGCGCAATTGTAATTTTTGCGCGCTGGGGCACCGGACGCGTATTTACGTTTATAGGCGCGTAAACGTGGGGGTGGGGGAGTTAAACATTTTGGGGGGGTTTTTTCCCCTTTTTTTATATGTGGCTTTTATTTTATTTTATTTTTTTATGTGTTACTTTTCTTTTTTTTTATTTATATTTTTTTTTTTGCACTTATTGTTATTGCTATTATATAGGGGGATAACAACCCCCTATATAATAGCAAAGGCACACTGACAGGTCCTCTTTATGGAGATATTAGGGGTCTCTAGGACCCCTAATATCACCTATGGACCCCAAAAGAAGCTGATAAAGCAGAGATCTGCTTTATCAGCTTCTTCTCTCTCCAGATGACTGACAGGTGAATGCGGAAGTGATGTAACACACATCACTTCTGCATTCACAGCCCGGACGGGGATCAGCAAGGAGCTGATCTCCCGTCCTCCTCCTCCTGACGCCCTCCGAGCCGGTCCCGGGGGGGGGGGTGCCGCGAACGAGCACATATAGGCGATCGGCGGGCTATGGACCCGCCGATCGCCTATATGTGAAACACCCGGTAACGGGTGTGTGCATTTAGCGGGTCTTTTCTGCCCGTGCGTGCCCGCTAGGGGGCGCGCGCGAGCAGAAAAAAATTGCCGTCTGGAGACGGCAACCCGCAGATGCTGCAGTGCCGTCCGTCCGTTTTTTTACTACGGGCGGACGGCAAGAGGTTAAGCAGTTACATAGAAGGTGGCGATTGCACACCTTAGAGCAGAAGTCCAGAGAAATATAAAAGAATAAACTAAAGCAGCTCTGTATCCATTAAAACATTAAATGCAAACAGTACCTGAATTTGAATTTGTATCATCCTCTTTAAGTCTATAGTACAGGTTAGGAGAGTGAGAAGCGGCAGAAGGAGCCAGTCATTGATAACTGACAAATCTTTTTGCAGGCTTTACAAAACTTTGGTTTGAGTCACATGTTGTCCACCTACCTGCGGGGCCTTGAGCATGAGAATGCAGACTGGTCTTTTGAGCTCCAGGAGATCCGTTTCCAGGCATCGTGGAGGAACATGCAGTGGGACCAGAGCCCATCCTACAAGTAAACGCTGACATTTACAATAAGTTAAGATTACTTTGTATGTATGTCATCACTGTGTGTTATATCAGTCTCCAAAACGGTATTTTTGTTTTTTAAGAGGTGACGTACCTGGTCCAGGCTTTCATGAATCTCTTTACCGTGCTGTACAGTCTCTGAGGGACAAAGAATTCTCCACATTTCATGACCATATTAAGTATGCCAGGCAAGTAGTAGTACACTATATATCTCCATGTTAGTAGCAATGCTGTCATGCAGAACTGTAGTTCATGCTACCCTAGGTACACATGTATGATACTGGTCTGCTATGCAGGGTTCATCTATTTTCACCAATAGTGCTACATGATTATTTATAGTGTGTGCATAGCGTCCACCTTACACTCTACTAAAAGCTCTGGTGCTGCTTGCAGCACACCCACTAATGCGGCCAGTGTTTGCATCATGGAATCATTTGGGCCTCATATCCTAGAGTCTTTAACATCTTTGGAGTCTCCCCTAGCTTCATCGGGTGAACCACTTCCTCTACTCTCTCAACTGAGATCTTTGCTATAGTCATGCATGACTTTATTGTCCAAATCACCCAGTTATTTGTTGACTCTGACAGAAAAAGCCACAAACACTCTCTAGTGCCTTCCCCTGCAAATTCTGTATCTGATCTCTCTGTGGCCTCTGAGCCACTGAGATGCTGTCTGATTTTGAGTCACTAGAGTCCTTACTGTTGCAATTTGCACCACTCTGAAGCTAAAGGATCCGCCGGTCAATTCTGTCAGTGTTTTACTAAAGCTTTGGTCCTTTAGAGCCCCTAAGACTACAAAATCTTTGCTGTTGCACCAGCTGTTCCAAGTCTTACGTTTAGAATCCCCCTAACTCAAGGACATTTCATTCCATTGTCTGGACGTGTTTTGGGCTGTGACACTTTCTCTCTCAGACATTGCTTCTTTTAGGAAGACTTTGTATTTCCGGATGACCTTTGTAAGGGTTTAGTGACTTTTTCTTCCATTGTTTGTTGGTGGCTCAGACAGACCATTAGTCAAACTTATGGTCTCAAGGATTGCTTGCACTCTTTCCTATCATTAAGCACTCTTCTAGGTCAGTGGGTGCTTCCTAGGCTTTTTGGCATTAGGCTACGGTTTCTCAGATTTGCAATGCTGCCACCTGGTCTTCTGTTCACACCTTTTCAAAATTCTGCCAGGTTAATTTTGAGGCCTCATCTGGCTCCTGGCAACCTCCTGGTTATTTTAGTAGGCCTGTTAGCATTTGCGATCACTCCAATGTTTGTAAACAACTGGGGACACATAGTACTATGTGTCCCCAGTTATGAATGAACAGGAAGTGCTTTACATCACTTCCTTTTCATTCATGACTTTCTCAATGGGGAGAAGCACTCACTATAGAGCATTCTATCCATTCAGATACTAGTTGATAGTAAATATTTTACTATCACCAGTTTCTGAATGAATGGGAAGCCTCTGTACTGAGAGCTTTCCATTCATTTAGTACAGGGGCTGCAGAAAAAAAGAAATTGAGGACTCTGTGTCCTCAATTTCTTTTTCTATTTCAAAAGGGAAATGTCAGGGGTCTGCCTAGACCCCTGATATTTCCCAAAAGACCACTGAACAGTCAAAAAAAATAATAAAAAAACAATAATAAATAAATAATAAAAAATGAAACGCAACCCCCCCTCCCCCCAACACACACACACAGATAACATACACGTGCAACACTGTGCACCATATTGTGGTGTTCACCATGCACATGCGCTGCAGTGCGTTTGGATCAAATCGCAGTGCTTGATTTTTTTGCTTTTTAAAATAACATTAATTTAACTGTGGCAGTGCACGGCAAAGCTTTTTACGCATTGTGCGCTGTGAAAAGCTGTGTCGCGATTAAATGTATGCCAGTATCATTTTATCACATACAACATCACAGCGCACAAACAAATTTTTTACATAAGTTGCTTATTTACAGTTTTGCGTTAATTGTTTTTACCGGTTCGCAAAAAAGACACAATTTAAAATTTACAAATATTTGTTATTTATTAACTCAATACAGTTTTATATTTCAGATTTAGTCATAAATGTTTTTTTTGTTGTGCGCTGGTACTGATTTTAGTGTGTTTTTATCAATTGAATTGTGTGTTTTTATCAGGTTAATATTTGTTTGATAAATGTTTGCACAATTATTGCAGGACCTACAAAATTAGTAGCATCATCTTTTTATTCCACTAGGCTTGTGCTTTCAGAAAATATATATGGTTTGGGGGGGTCTTTTACAAATGCTAGCAACGCAGCAGTAGGAAATCAAAACAATGGGAAAAATTACAAAAATGGTGTGGCCAGCTGAGTTTTAAAGCATTCCGCGGAGCTTGGCAGCAAAAGGGTTAAACATTAGTTTCATCCTCTGTGGCAGTGCCTTTGTTTTGCAGAGGACTTCTTCCCATCTATCCTTCATGTGGGGGTTGGTTCCTTCGAATACCCCTGACATGCGATAGTCCTTTTAAAATTCCTATTAGTGGCTGTTGCTCACTGGTCTCCTTTTAGACTTCCTGACTGTAATAGAATTCCTGTGCCTGTCAATGGATGATAAAAAAAAACTTGTAATTTTTTTTTTTTACTTGGAGCAAAATCTTTTTCTTGTAGTCATTGAGGGACACAATTCCCACCCCTCTGTGTTTTCTCTGACCCTGTGTATTGCTTTCTCACAAAACTGTGGCATGCTGGGTAGAGGAGGGTCTCTACAGAGGATAGCTTACTGTTTTTCTGTTTGCCAGTGTTCTGTTAGGTGGCAGTATAACCAGACTGCAATAGAATTCCTGTGTTCCTCAAGTGAACTACAAGAAAGTGATTTTATGCCTAGTATGCGAAGTACAAACATTTTTTTTTTTTTTAAGCTCCATCAAATCCTTTTCTTTGAACCAATTGAGAGACACAGATCGTGCCCCTCTGTGTTTTTGTTCATGCTCTCTTGTGCTACAAAGCTGAGGTCTTCTGGTAGTATAAGGAGTTATTCTAAACTGTCCTACAGTTTTTTGGGCTTTTTTTTTGTCAGTGTACAACCTTCCTGTCGGCGGCAGTTGAAGCTAAAGGTGAAAGGCTTCCTATGTTGCTCAGTGGACTCCAAGAAAAAAAACTTTACAGCTAGAATACCTGCAAATTATTGTTTGTATATTTATTTATTTTTTGTACTCTGTAGGGTTAAGGAAGTGGAAGATCTTTGCAAAGGCAGCCTGGAGTCTGTGTACTCTCTGTATCCCACACTGTGTAGGCTCCAAGCTATTGGAGAACTAGAGAATGCTGGTCAGATGTTTTCCAGGTATGTTTAAGGCAAACTTTTTAAGTTCAACAGGTGATTAAGGAACTGTTTTAAAACAAGAATTCTTTGGTAATTTGGGTGTGCAAGGTAAAATGTAGTGCAAGAGTGGAAATCAATATTTAAAGTGCACCTGTTCCTAAGTGCCACTTCAGTGACTGGTATTGAACCAGTGCAGAAAAACACCTGTCACCGCAACTAGTGTGAATCAGAGGGCTGTTGGCAGGCCAAGATCTGAATTTCATAAAAAAAACAAAAAAAAACATTTATGTGCCTTTTGTTAGGAAATCTGAAGATATTTTCCACAATGGTTACAGAGGTGAGTGAGGGCTTTTTTAAAAGAGCTTTTACTGCTTGTTTAGCATATGTTAATATGTGTACATGATCTGGCCAAAGATTAACTTTATTGTTAAACTCTAGCTTTGTTTAAAAAATACCAAGATATGATAAGTATTTTTCATGCAATTATTGACTCCACTATTAACCAATTAAGTACCAGCCTGTAACCAGTCCGTAATGGGCATTTTTTTCGCTTTCGGTGCTGCGATAGTTTGACTAACGCATACTGAGTCACTCAACACTGTACCCAAGTACATTTTCTATGGCTTTCTTTTGGTGGTATTTAATCAACACCGTGTTTTTTTTATTTTTCTTTAATGGAAAGGAAAAAACACCAAACATTTTGAAAAGAAACCTTTTTCCCTTTCTGTTAATACAAAAATTCAAGGACTGTACGAACATTCACAAAATGACCACTTTTTGGAAAGTTGGCCCCAAAAGTTGATCACATTTTTTCACTTTAATTTCTTGAAATTGAAGAAACATGCTAGTATTGAGGGGGTGAAATGTGAAGCTAGGTAATGGTGCACTAGATACAGCACAGAAGGTTGTACATTGTGCACTAGATACAGCACAGAAGGTTTTACACCGAGGGATCAGGAGGTGAAGGGGTTAATGAAGAGATCACAAAGTGGGAGGATGAAGATGAGAGGGTGCAGATGTGCAGGATAAGGGAGGTGAAGGGTTAAGAAATATGTAAAAATGAGACACA